TCTGACATTGAAATAACACTATAATCAAAACAAATACAAGGAACACAGTAAAAATAATGCACCAGACAAATTACCTGTAGGGAGCTCGGGAGACTTTTGAACTGCGTCTTTCAGGTACAAGCGAACCTGGTTTTGATCCACTGGCTTGAACCAGTTGAGTTTTGGCTTTCCCGATGGCTCCATTGTGTACGCAGGAAACACAACCGACTTGGAAGCGAGGCTTGGACTGGCACGTTGGACTAGACTGAGGTAGTCGCTGAACAGACCGCACACACGCAGACAAGGGAACGACTTCTCATCAACGAGATGGTAGATTTGGCAATCGCTCTGAACACTCGTCTTTTTGTACCATCGAAGCCGAATCGAAACATACTGACTCTCTCCATAATGCAGCAATGCAATGTCGTCCCAGGTGAGGTTAGCATTTCGCAAGATAGCTGGCACAAAACAAAAAGCGATACATCCCACCCACAAACATATGAGAGGTAGAAAAAGCATTCAATAAACATGAAAGCTCGTACACTGACAGTGGGTGCGCCTTTTTTCGTCGTCGATGTTGTTTTTTGTTGTTGTATTTTTGTAGTCCGACAACATACTGCTAAGACTCCACGTCGCGTGCTGGGTTTGGAATAACTATCAGGTCGTGAAAGTATGCCACAAGGGCTGGCAAAGTCGACAGTTCGGGCAGTTTTGCCTTGGCTGTATAGATACTGGACTTACCTCTTGCACCTATCAACCAAACAACCGAGCAAACCAACTAGACAGTCCATTGACGCTCAGGACACCTGGCGCCTGTGCCAGTGGGCGGAGTTGTTGTGATGCAGTCAGGACACCCGGTATTGTCGAGAACATCACCACTGCATTGTCCCTCAGGTCGCAGGATGGTCCTGCCACGGTAGGAGGTGTTTTGCGCAATCTGGGGTATTTTTCCTCTTGTGGCAGTCAGTTGGAGCGAAGACCACCCGTCACATTGTTAGGATGTCGTGCTCTCGTTGGCTAATTGTCCTTAACCCGCCGACCACATCTAATTCCTCCACTATCGGTCTTCCTCACTTCCGCGCCTCTCTGCGCTGTCTGTCCTTTCAACAACACATTGCAGTAGTGCACGACTACGCCCGCAAGAATGAAACGTCATTTGGTGATGTCATTCTTGGCCTTGTCGATGGCGCATCTACCTCTAACGGTCATTTCCTCGGAATTTCCATTGATGGATGCATGCAGAATATCTTCATCACAAACACGATGACGCTGTTGTTCAAAAACGGATATCACTCGCACGCCACTGAATTACATGCATTTTGCAGCGATTTCGGAATTATGTCATGCGTTGCGGAGTCGATGCCGGTCTGTATGCAAACAATGAATGTGCTCGACGCCACAAGGCAGAGCATAAGATGAAGAAGTGGACGCTCGGGTTGTTAGCTCAGTACACTGCGAGATCATAACCTGGCCGTCGCATACCTTGCCCGTGAATGGTGATGTGACTCTTGGGACGTAAGGTTAAGATTTGCTTGTCTGATGGGAATTTACGACATTTCGGTCTTTCATCGCAAATCGACACGCTGACATTGGTTCCTAGTCGTAAAAAATAATTTCGTCAAACATTGCTCTTTGACCATTGTAACTATTCCTGAGAGCAGTTGAAGTAATTCCGTCGAAAGTACTGTAACTCCTCAAACACCTTTCCTATACATGAGAATGAGCACTTCGTGCCCCTTACAGTTCGGAAGGAGCATTTGCAGTCAAGGAAGGCGTAGGGCCGAAGAATAAGGTGAAACGAGAAGCGACTCGAGCTGCGCGCCGATGCCAAGTAGAGTCGTTTACAGAGAGTACTAGTATTTGATTTGAGCAATGATACCTTTTCCGTTATCCCATGCGTTTGTTAAGACTACTGCAAGACTTCCTTGCCAAAATCGCTCGCGAGGACTGCTTCGGGAATCAATATTGACGGTACAGCTGGTAGTACATTTCCCAGTAGCCTTAGATGGAGATCACCATCGAGTGCGACCTGTCTACAACTGAACATGTTATAATGCGTTGGGTCCCGCAGTAGCGCTGTCGTTGCCTGGTCTTGGTGAAACTCCTTGGAGTACAGCTCGTCTATAAAAACGATGTGGTGATATCAACGTGTTAACTCCCGTCAGGACTTTTGATCGACCGTGAGCGCCTGTCACATTCCGAGCATACTGTCATGTAGATATTTCCCCATGACAACAACCTCAGCCGCCTCACGTAGCTAGGAACGCTTACCTCTCGTTGATCTTCGTATCGACACATATAGCCAACTAGATAAAAACTCGACGAAGTGATATATGGAAATTTGTAGGCAAAGCCTTGTATTGGCTCTGGAAACAATTTACGTTAAAAGTTGTGAAAGGACGCCTAGTACTTCTGTAACCGTTTTGATTCGTCCAAAAAGGTATAATATATTCAAAATAACCGCTTGTCCAGTCCAACCAAGGCACTGTCATGTGATGTGCAACTTTGATCATTGTTGGTATCGAAGGACTCCTCCAGCACTGTTATGTCATCGAAACCGAAAAGGCCACCACCCTAACCGCCCACAACACTTAGATGGCCGACCTGAGCCAAGCCAAGTCGCCATCGTCATGACGACCCAAGTTGGCACTGCCACAGGACATGGCTGTGTTGACATGGTCGTGAGTGGGCGAGAACCGTTTAGCCGCGCCCCAAAAGTTCTCAATGTCTACTCCACCGTCATGACGGTGAGTTCTCGGGCTCTGTAAGGCCCCCACAAGATCCAACCATCACAAAGACCCACCTGCTCAGCCAAAAACGTCACTCTAGAAGTTGTTTGCCATGAAAAATTCGTCCTACAACTGGCCGTGGAGTTACTACCAGGCAGTATTACAGTGCTGGACAGTGAAGATAGGTACACTTGTATTTTCTTCGTAAAATCGCTTATTTGTGTCCAATCAAAACAGGGTTTGAAGCGCTTGTAGCAGCTGTCAACAAGCAACATAGAGCTGTTTTTAAATACACTTGACGTTGGGTTCAGGCCGAGAAAAGTTAAAAAGACTGAATGAATGGACTTTGAGCCTGAACAGAAAGGTAGGTACATTGCTGGAAAATCGTCATTTCTCGTCGTTTAGATCTCCGTTGACGCTCCAAAAGGCGGGTATGCTTACATAATGAACCCATCAACCACTAACTTTGCCTACAGATGCCGAAGGATGTACTTCTTACACTGGAAATGCAAGGATCGATCTTGGCCTTTCACAAGGCCAAATGGTCGATCCGACGCATTTCCAGAGAGTTGCTTGTGTCGAAGGGGGCGATTTGGAACTTCCTTAAGTCCCTCGAGGCGTACGCAGCAAAAGAGAGACCTGGAATTAAGCCCAAACTGGACGTGCGCGAGCGTCGACGAGTCTTGCGGGTCGCGTCCGATGGCAAATCGTGCTCAAGTAAGATTCAACATGACCTTAATCTTAATGTTTCTGCTCGTACGATACGCCGTATCCTTTCTGCATCGCCTTTCCTCAAGTACAAGAAACGAAAGGCAAGCCCTCGACTGACGCACCGACACAAGGAAGCACATGTCGAGTGGGCAATGGCGCACGTGGACCTTGGCCACGCTTGGGACCGTATCATCTTCTCGGACGAGAAGAAATTTAACCTGGATGGGCCAGACGGCCTCCAGCACTCCAGCACTACTGGCATGACCTCCGGAAGGAAGAAAAGACCTCCCTGAGCCGTCAAAACAGTGGGGGGAGCGTCATGATTTGGGCCGGTTTTTCAAGCAAGGAATTGACCTAAGTTGCCTTCCTGCAAGGACGCCAGAACTCCTATGCCTACTGTGATACCATTGCGGACTATCACCTGCCCTTTGCCCACGCCAATCACCCCGAAGGTTTTGTTTTTCAACAAGACAATGCCAGCATTCACGCCAGCAACGAGACCAAGTCGTTTTTGGCCGAGCACGAAATTCCACTTTTGAGCTGGCCTTTGCTCTTGCCGGATCTGAATCCGATCGAAAACGTCTGGGGATACCTGGTGCGGAAGGTTTATGCCAACCGGCGTCAATTGGAGACCGTAAACGAGCTCAAACTCGAAATTTTGCGGCAGTGGAATGCCATCGACTCCGAGCTGCTTCTGAAGCCTGTGGCATCGATGAAATCGCGTTGCATTGCTGTTTTGCAGCTCAAGGGCTCGTGTACGAAGTATTAAAGTATAACGTAGCTCATATTGTCTTCATACTTGCTCTTGTTTGTCAAATTGCAAAAGTGTACCTTTCTCAATGGCCTGCTTTTATTTTGCAGAATTTACAAAAGTGCAGATATCTCGAGCAGCATTCTATGTTTGTGAACTCTGAAGTTCCAATAAGATCACATCAATTGCTGCTGTGTGATGACGGCTTTACTCAGGCCAGTCAGTGCGTCGAAGGAATTTTGTGTCGGAAAATCATGTGTACCTATCTTCAATGTCCAGCACTGTAGGTAGAGTTGTCGCCTTGGCCTTTGTAGCCATGGAAATTATGATTAAGACAAATCGATCAAATTAACATCTACTATATATGTTTAACACAAGCTGAATTCATGACTCGTTACGTTCGGATGCCAAGGTGAGCAATGCTTTATTGAACAACTTCCTGATCGCTTCTTCGCTAATCGATTCCCATGTCACGATGGTACGTTTGATAATTTTCAATCTCATTTCCGTAGCTGAAATCACGGGCATTTCTCGTGACCAAAGGGTCACGAATCTTTGCCTTCAAAGGGGCCAACACCCCGACATCAAAAGGGACATCAAAAGGTTGGCACACACTACTAGTCGTTTTTGCTGGCAGGGGCTCCAGAAACGAGTACAACTCACTTTCCACGGCCCTTCGTGCTGGGACAAACACATGGGTTGACAAGCTAGCCACTATCAGCGTTGTTGGGCCGACAAGCTCAAACTTAAGGATTTAGGCAGAAAAGCCAAGTGTCTTGGTCCTTCCATCCATGCAGTTTCTTGAACGGCATATACGTGACCCGCAGGATTCTCTGACTACTCATCGGTTTCAATTTGGTCCCTGCACCCTACGTTCAAAAAAGAGGATGGACGGATTTGTTCCTACTGAACTGACTTCGAGTTGATAATAGAGCGTTTTAGCAAGCCGGGTATTTGCATCAAATTCCCGGCTTGTCTTCGAGCACACATACTGTACACGCACACCTCGATAGTTGCACACCGGTTATCCGAAAAAAGACGGATGAAACAATACGAAAATGTGCATCACACCCGCAGAGGCTGACCTCGTGAGGTCCGCTGGCCCCCTGCTATTGATGCTACGCCTTCTGCAGGCTCCCAGCGGTCGAGAGGCAACCCAAGACCGGATACCAATTCCAAGCGTCGAGTTTAATCTCGAAAAACACTACGATGCGGAATGTTTGGCCAAGTTCCGCTTTACCCGCTCTGACATCCTACGTTTGGTCCATTCCTTTCGCCTACCTCGCACAATAATCACTGCTGAACGCAATCGGTGTTCGAACGTTGAGGCCGTGTGTATTTTGCTCCGACGCCTTGCCATCCCAGACCGGTGGATTGGCATCATTGATATTTTCGGCCGATCTCCCAGCGCCCTGTCAAACATATTTTTGCATGTGGTGGACCATGTTCACAACAAATACAAGGA